GGGAAATGATGAAGAGTAATAATCAAGAATAATCTGTACATTTATATGTACTCGACTATTTATAATCCCATCAACAGATTCCATAATATTTTAGGGGGAAAAAAAGCCTGAAGTTGCTCACCTTGTAATTAGGGGTCAGCTTTACAAAAATAGTAGTCTTCTTATCCCAGATGAGCATCACACCACTGCTGGTTTCAATAACAAGATAAAGCCCCACTGTCCGAGTCCAATAATGTACATGTTCGCCAGCATCTCGATGAATTTCTACATAGCGCTTGTCCTCCAGCTTCAATTCAATTCCCTGAAAGACAGAAAGAGAAGGGATATAATAGCACTAGCTTTAGAATGAGGCAAGCTATTGGAATGGTGCTGCTGATGGACTTCATTACAAGGCTAACATTGCCAAACCACTACCTAAACCTTTAAGAAGTGGAAATCACTGTAATGGAACCATGCCAACGTTGAGTTTCAAGGAACATGGCTACAAACAAAGGTCAGTTTTCATTAGCTGCATTCTAGGGCTGATCCCATCCAGAACCACCACTCACCTTGAGAAATACTTTAATAGCCTTTGAGCAGGTGACTCCTGTGGTTCCACATGGAACATTAACTGTGATGATACTAAATGTGCCACTGGGGTCCTCACCACAATAATCCTGTTGAGAATGGAATAAAGAATCTTAAGTGAATGAAAGGAACTGTATTATTTATTTTGCTTTCGGTCTAAAATAATTTAAATTTCATCTTCAAATTCCAGTACTCACACACAACATTTAATGTTTACCAAATTCTGGGAAAGAAATGAGACGATTGAATTAAACAATAGCTCGTTTCCCAAACAATCTTCGTTTTCCAATTTCAGATTTAGCCAGTAGTTTTGGAGTAGCGTTGATGATCTGACAACTTTCATTGTCAAGTTAGCCAAGATGTATATTCAGGACATCCCCACTGTGACCCCAGTACATTGCTGTTCTGCACTAAAGTCACTGACGCTTCTAAGAACTGACGTGTTATTAGTCCTCCCAGTCTCCACTCTGAATTTGTGCAAATGGAAGTCAGCCTCAAGAAAAAAATTCCCTGCTTTAAGTTGTTTCACTATAAGTCCAAGTTTTTGACAACATATCTTGGACTTATATCAAGGATGGCCTGTAATCTGCACATACATCAGCAAAAGGAATGTTCACTCAATGCCATTAATTTCCTTGGACATCTGGGATTTGTTGCAAATATGGAATTTAATTTGGCAAATGCTGAAGTTGCCATAGGAACAGTGATCTTCAAGAAAAAAAAGGGGCTAAGAGAGGTGGTCCAAGAACCAAACTGATAGCTAGGTTTTTTGCAGAACTTGAAATTACCTGGGCAGCCACATATTCACAGTGTCCATCAAAATCATAGTGTTTTCCATCAAAGGTGACATAATGACCACTTCCATATATAATACAAGTCCCATAGCACTCATTTATGGTACAATTCCATTTTCCTTTATAGCAGGTACTAGGGAATGGATAAAATAGTTGGATGAAATCTGAAGAGTCATGCCTTAATGCCACAGGATAAACCACATAGCAGGCTGATACTACGTGAAATACATCCCATGAATAATATGCAGATTTCTGTAACAAGGCATTATATTATAAATCAACATTTTGTCAATAGTCTCCACACAGAATTGGCCCACTGATGAATGTATAGCATGGCTGTTACCACCCTAAAAACTTGTCAGCATGGTATTTAAACCATTTCATTACCATTCAGTCACTACAAGTAAGAAACACCAAAAGGAAAGAGGAGAACAATATAGAACCTTACCAATTGTTGCAGCCCACTGTTGTAGTGTGTCCCGGAGGATAAAAGTCGCCGTTATGAATACATGGACAATCATTCTCACTTACACAGCCCCCTCTGCCATCATCAAACAGTCCAGAGGGACATATACATCCTGAGATGCACTCTGTTGGGAGCTAAGAAAAATAAGGTAATAAATGATATTATTTTTTAAGAAAACATTAATTTTCTATAAACATTTATCCCACAAGCTTCTTTCTCTGGATTATTACTCAGCCATTTTTATTTATTTCTCATCTCTCTAGTATCTGAGTTCCCACAGAATTTTCTTCATATTTTACAGACATTAACTTCAGACTAGCTTACTTTTGTTCTACACAGAAAACTACCAGAGTGTATTGTAAACAAAATGCCTATTCATCTAATTAGCAATCTCTCTACTGGGAAAAGAGAGGGTAAGTCAGTGAAAAGAAGAAGAAAGAATGGCAAAAATAGTGAAAGAGAATTGGAAAAGAAAATGATGAGAACAAAAATGATAAAAGAAAAGAAAGGACAAAAATGAGAGGAAAAGAAGAGAGAAAAGACTAAAAGACAATGTTGATCAGGTTTTCACTGCTTCATTTAGACTACACCTACATTATAACATTATTTCGAAATAAGTAACTTTGAAATAATAACTCCCAAAATAACTATTTTGAAATAGTGCATCCACACTGCAGGGAAGCCTTGAAATTAGTCTGAGGCAAGCTCCCTTAATGTAGACATGCTACCATGATTTAGAGCCCCAGGAAGCACTCGGAATTAATTACTTTGAATGATTTGGGGGAGTAGTTATTTTGAAATAACAGCAGCTGACCATCCAGACTAATGCTATTTCAAAATAGCAATTTCAAAATAGGTGTTATTCCTCGTAAATTCAGGGGTTATTATTTCAAAATAATAACCCTGTTACTTCAAAATAATTTCAAAATAACAAACTTGCTGAGTTGATGCTCACTTTGCTATTTCAAAATAACGGGAATTATTTTGAAATAACTTTGTGTTGTATATTGGGATGTAGATATAGATCTTGTTGTTATGGTAACTGAGTAGGTCACTGGGGTCAGCCCAGCTAGTCTGGGCTTGTTCTAGTGAGTTCTGTGCTATGCAATAAAATGGACGTAACGAGGAGTAACGGTAGTTCGGAATAGGACCCTAGTCCGAACTACCTAGTTCGAGCCCCGTGTAGCCGCGCTACACGGGGTTCGAAGCAGCGGGGATTTAAAAATGGTGGCTCCCCGCTTATGCCAATGAAGCCCGGGAAATTCAAATCCCGGGCTTCATTAGCAAGTGCGGTATGCATACATTACCCTCCTAGTTCGAACTAGGAGGGTAGTGTAGACATACCCCCTGTTACTTCAAAATAATTTCAAAATAACAAGCTTGCTGAGTTGATGCTCACCTTCCTATTTCAAAAATACAGGAGTTATTTTGAAATAACTCTGTAATGTAGACATGCCCTTAGGGATTATGGGAAATAAGGAGACATGTCATAGTGAGGTAAAATGAAAACGTACATAACCAGCACCCAAAGAATGGCAGCTTAGCTGAGGAAGGACTGGAGAAGACCTAGAGTTGACATTGCTGCAATCTAAGTGAGTCTTGGGAGACAGACACTCTGTAAAACAAAGATACCGTGTTAGATGGGTAAACTTTGTAGCTCAAGGGATCAGAAAAGAAATGGGAAGTTATTAAGTACTGAGAGAGAAACTGCAGGGTGCACCCCTTAAAAATAAATGAAAATATACTTTCTAACCCAAGGAAAACCCTCTGCTAAAAGCAAAGTGAAAATGGCTGTTTTACAGAAAGGAAAAATGAACAAGTGGAGAATTCAAATGTGGAATTGAGCTGTTTCTCTCTAAAGCATTTCACTTACTTTCCCCTGTTATCTTCACTTGAGTGCAATGGAGAACTGCATTTCGGCAAACACTACAAAGAGTGAGAAGATAGAATGTAAGCCCGATGTGTTCAGTTCATAAACATCTAAAACAATTTGCAGAGGCACAACTAACAAATTATTCCTTTGGACTGTAAAAAAATCCCTTTTGCCATGCTACATTCTTAGGAGGCAAAGTAATAATAAACCCAGTTGATCTATTAGTGCAATAATACAGTAGACTTCCGATAATCCAGCACCTTTGGGACCCAGGTGGTGCCGGATTATCGGATATGCTGGACTATCGGGAGGTACCCTGGTGGGGGGCTGTGATGGGCCTGCCAGGACCTGCACTGCATCTGGCGGGGGGGGGAGGAGATTGGCAGGGAACAGTGCAGCAAGGGACGAACCCTCCACCGTTTTGCAAGGAGGTGGGGGAAGCCCCACGCAGCCACCAGCAACAGGCCATCTGGAGAAACCCAAGCAGAGGAGAGGGGGTGAGGCGTCCAGGGAGTGTGCATCCAGAAGCCGGGGGCTGAGGGGCGGCACTGCGGGACCAACCCAGCAGCACCCCAGCTGCTCTGCTCTGCTGCTTCCCCAAGTCCACCGCCACTGCTTGCAGGGCTGGCGGCTGGGGTTCCCCAGGTGGCCTGTCACCCCGGCAGCTGCACGGGGCTTTCCCCACCTTCCTGCAAAACGGCAGAGGGTTCGCCCCTCGCTGCGCCATTTCCCCCCTCCCGCCCGGCCAGACACAGTGCAGGTCCCGGCAGACCTGTCACAGGGGTATAATCCCCTTCCCCTCTCCTCCCTTTCCCTTTCCCAGCCCGTGAGCGCGCATGGGGCTCACAGCAACTACAATTGTCTGGCTGGCCAGAACACTTCCTGGTTCCAGTTGGTTCCAGACTATCGGGAGTGCTGCATCACTGGATACCTGACAATTGGAATTTTCCTGTACTTAGTAGTGATCTTTGTGGAATGTGCACCTTCAAAAGAAAGTCCCACACGATTTCCAAAGGGATTTCACAGTGAGCTTGAAGGAGAGTTTGGCAGGACTTTTGGAATTTACTTTATAAATAGATGGCAAATTCATGATTTTCAAAGAATAGCCACATGTACTTTTTAGGCAACCAAAACAACACACGGTCATGCCAATTCAGAGCATGCCCTTAGCTACCATAAATATATATCAGCATTTTATGCCAACTCCAGTCAAATGCAATAAGCTCATAAGCTTATACTCTTTTCTCCTAGTTCTCTCCTCTTTGAAAGGCAAAGAAATATTTTATCATTCACAGCAGGAGTCATTGGACTATTCCGGCTGGGAGCCTGCATGTTGATTTTGGAATGCTATAATCTTGATTACAAAAGAGGCTGCCACATGAAAATGCTAAGCTGGAATTCACATGCAAATTTGACACCATCAGAATAGTCTGAATAAATAGGGACTGGGAATGGCTCACACATTACAATAAGTAATTTTCCACTTTCCTAGTCTCACCTTCTTATCCACATACACGCTGATTGATGTTACATTCCCATCCCATCCCATAGCTTTGATGTTACATTCCCATCCCTGTATCCCTATTACAGGTAGTCCCCGAGTTACGCGGATCCGACTTATGTTGGGGATTTTCTTGCCCCGGTGGACTCGAGCGGTGGGACGCCTGGTCC